AAGAAGTCCCTTTCAGTGGGAGACTGAAAGAGGTCTTGAACTGCAAGGAATTCCCTTTTTTGTCAATAGGAATTACTATGTGGAGGGAGGAACTTACTTTTTTAGGACCCTCTTGAGTGTAATCATGGTGAGGAACTTCCTGTTAGGGGTGTGCCCAGTTATCTGATGAGGTTGCAGGGAGCCCTTCTCCCTCTAAGGTTCACATTTTCTGACCTGGTGATTCTTCCTCTTAGTCTTGGTGTGTAGATTCTACCCAACAGTGCTCACCTACAGCCTTCCATACTATTTCTACCCTCTCAAAGCCCAGTTTTTATTATGCATAATGTTTTGGGGCTGTTTCCTTCTTTTACACCTTTCTGAACCCTCTGCTAACAACAGTCTACTACTTTATCTGTTCTCCCTCATTCTCCTTGCTTTAGCTGTGGCTGTTGCACAGTTAAACTGAATTTCTATCTTGTCTTGGTTTGACTCTGCATAGTTTGAGGAAGAGATGAGAGGGAGAGAGTAGGGAGTTTTTCCCCGGGTCTCCCTTTAAAAAAGGAAAAAAAGGAAGACCTGGGGAACTACAGGCCAGTCAGTCTCACCTCTGTGCTTGACAAGATCATGGATTGGATCCTCCTGGAAAATACACCAGGGCACATGGAAAATGAGATGAATGGTGACAGCCAACATGGCTTCACCAAGGGCAAATCATGCCTGAAGAATTTGGTGGCCTTCTATGACAGAGTTACAGTGTTTGTGGATAAGGGAAGAGCAACTGACGTCATCTACCTGGACTTGTGCAAAGCATTCAACACTGTCCTGCACGACATCCTTGTCTCTAAATTGGAGAGATGTGGATTTGAAAGGTGGACCATTCAGTGGATAAGGAATGGGCTGGATGGTCGCAGTCAATGAGTTGCGGTCAACAGCTTAATGTCAGAGTGGAGACCAGTGATGAATGGTGTTCTGCAGGTATCAGTATTGGGAGTGGTGCTGTTGAACATCTTTGGTGACATGGACAGTAGGATTGAGGGCACCCTCAGCAAGTTTGCTGACAACACCAAGCTGTGTGGTGCGGTCGACGCGTTGGAGGAAGGGGTGCCATCCAGAGGGACCTTGATAAGGCTGGAGAGGTGGGCCCGTGCAAACCTCATGAAGTTCAACGAGGCCAAGTGCAAGGTCCTGTACCTTGGTTGAGGCAATCCCAAGCACAGATACAGGCTGGGTGATAAGTGGATCGAGAACAGCCCTGCGGAGAAGAACTTGAGGGTGTTGGTGGATGAAAAGCTGCATGTGAGCCAGCAGTGTGCACTTTTGCAGCCCAGAAAGCCACTGGAATCCTGGTCTGCATCAAAACAGTGTGGCCAGCAGGTCGAGGGAGGAGATTCTGCCCCTCTACTCCACTTTGGTGAGACCCCACCTGCAGTACTGCATTCAGCTCTGGGGCCTGCAGCATAAGAATGACATGGACCTGCTTGAGCAGGTCCAGAGAAAGGCCATGAAGATGATCAGGGGCACTTCCCCTATGAGGACAGGCTGAGAGAGTTGAGGTTCTTCAGCCTGGAGGAGGCTCTGGAGAGACTTTACAGCATCCTTCCAGTTCTTAAAGGGGGCTTATAGGAAAGGTGGGGAAGGAGTCTTGATCAGGGAGTGTAACGATAGGATGAGGGGTAATGGTTTCAAACTGAAAGAGGGGAGACTTAGATTAGATACTGGGAAGAAATTCTTCACTGTGAGGGTGGTGAGACACTGGAACAGGTTGCCCAGAGAAGCTGTGGCTGGCCCCCCCTCGCCGGAATTCAGGACAAGGTGGGAGCAACCTGGTCTAGTGGAAGGTGTCCCTGTCCATGGCAGGGGGGTTGGAACTAGATGGTCTTTAACATCCCTTCCAACCCAAACCATTCTGTGGTTCTATGAACGTGCTGCTCAGCAATGCACTTTTGTCATCCTGCTGCTTTTGGAGCAGATCTGCTCAGAATGCAAATGGCTCTTTTCTGGCTTTTATAAACCACTTTGTGTGAAGTAGGTTCTAGGTGGAGTTATAGAGACAATTCAGGTATTTCCCAATTCATTAGGTGAGAGCAGCCCTGCAATAAAAACTCTTCATTGTTAACTAATACTAGGATTGTTTATTGAAAATACGTAACATCTATCCATGCGTTTGGAACAGGCTGCCCAGGGAGGTGGTGGAGTCACCATTCCTGGAGGTGTTCAGAAGACATATAGACGCAGTGCTTAGGGACATGGTTTAGTGACGGGCTTGGCAGTTTAAGGATAATGGTTGGACTTGATGATCTTAAAGGTCTTTTTCAACCAAAATGGTTCTATGATTCTATGATTTTTCCAGTCTGTGTCTCTGTATAATGGTGAAGTGCTGTCATATTTCTCTTCTATTGATAGGTTCAGTGAGAAAGATGTTTTTGTTTATTTTAAGGTTGTGTCCTTGTTCTGGAATATTTTGAGCTGATGTTGTCTTGGAAACTGACTTCACTAAAGGTTGATATATGGTTAATATACAGATTGTTTTTGTCCTTTTCCCATCATCTTGTTCCTACTGATTTATTATAACTATTTTCTGAGAACCAAAAGCTTTTCTGCCTCATGTTCCCTAAAAAAAAATTTACTATTGAAGTGGTGTAGAAAATAACATTCTCAAAGCAGATGTATTCCGAGTTCATGGCTATTGTGTGTAAATAAAACTATAAATAAAATAACTATGGCAGGAAGCCTTCTATAAAAAGTTACTCTTTATGCTTGGTATATAAAGTTTAGAAGTAACTTTCTTGTCTTATTGCTGAGATGACAACTCCTTTAGAGTTAAAGGAATGATAAGTAAGTATGCAACACTGAGTGCTGACTGGCTTTCCTAGTACAATGATCTCACTTTTAAAGCCTGATTACTTTGGCATTTGGATTATGCCGTTTGTAAGGAGTGAAAACACAGGTAGTTTGAAAAGTTCTGGTGGTGCACACACACATGCATGTGCACACCTTCACTACGCTTTTGGAGGTGTGGGTGCTCTTGCTGTATATGTACCTGTGCTGCTCTCTACAACACTCAGGTGAGAAAGCACCCCACGAGCTCACATATGTGTACCTCTGGTGCAAATCCCTATATGTTGCACCCCATACTGGCAGTCTGCTGTCTGGATGCAGACTGCTAACAGACTTAGACAGGGAGGGTGCTCTGTCTGGGCTAGGCAGATGCCAGCAGAGTGACTTGTGGCTGAACCAAAACGCAGAACTGATTGTTCCCACTTCAAGGTCTGTTCTGCCAATTTTTGTGGTTTTCTTACAATTCGGGCTGATGCCTCCTTCAAAAGGTCATCTTGTAATTCCTTAGCTACTGTTTAATAATGGCACAGTGAGTTGGGATTTGATAGTCTTCCTCTTTAACATGGTAAATTTTGGGCAAATGCTGCTGAGTTTCGAGTGTTCAACCCCCACTCCAATTATTTACACTCACAGGGTTAACAGGAGCTGTTATCCAGGCCATTTGCCAAGGCTGGGGGCCATTTGGGCACCCCCGCAGTTATAATGTAGAATATATGCAGTTATTAGAGGGACTTGAGAGAGCAAGTGGACTTTATATTTTACTTGGACTAGTGCACTTGGATGCTAGTGTTAGGATCCCTATCAGCATCTTCACTTCAGTAACAGAAGAAAGACAGGAGAGTCTAGGAGTTAGAACATATGACTGAGATGCAGTCTCAAAGATCTAGAACCCTTAATCCTGGCTCAAGACTTGCATTGTGCAAACATACCTGTTTAGTCTTTGCTCTTCAGCTAGCCTTGGGTTACCTCTCTTGTGTTTGATCTTCCCCTCACCCCTTCAGAACTGTTACTTATCAATTTACCTGTCTTAATACAAGTGTGATGACTTTCATGGGGTGAATGTGCAAATCGGAATTTCAGCAATTAAGATCAGAACCACTCACGAGTAGTTTCTAGCCTTTTTCAATCTGCTGACCCTTAAATACATGCTGGTGGAGATGCTATTCAGTGGCCTGTACTCTAAAGCCTACTGACAAAAGGCTTGCTTTTCTGAGTTTAATTTTTACTGACCCCTCTGAAGTACCCCAAAGATCTCAAGGGACTTGTAGGCTATAAGTTGACTATCCTGAATTTTGTGGTTGTAACTACTTGTTATTGGATTTTATTTTTCCATTTGCATATATTTCCTTGACTTTCAATTACTGTGCTGGAAGCTGTGGTGTGTTTTTTCTCAGTATGGTCCATTGTTGGCCTCTCAGGTTTTCACACGTATTTGATCAGCTCCAATCAAACCACAAATGAAGATGTAAGTTCATAGTATACTTGTACATGTATGTTTCTAAATAATAATGAGGTTTTTCTCTGTTATTCTTGGAGAAGTCATACCTGTGTGCATAGGTTTGTGAATGCCTCAGTAGGAAAGAAGGAAGTAACCAGGTCATGCTTGATTCAAAATATCAGAAGAGATCTTTTGGACTATATTTGTTGTTGCTTGAAGATGTGCTGGTTACATAATGTGTCCATTATGATTTGCACCCACAGAACCCGTATCTTGAAACAGGAAAATGTAGAAGAGAGGAAACAAAGAAATAAGTATATTTTACACAGTAGGAAATTACTAAATAATTTTCAGTATGTCTTTTTCACTGGGAGTCTTAAATATTCTTTGATTCAAAAATTGGTTACAGTAGAAATTGCAAAGTGTGTTCAATTCTCAAAACAAAAATTTCATCCTTTCTTTTATTTTTCCTTTGAGATTCCTTTCCCAGTCTGAGGTTTAAAACCTCTGGCAAGGAGTATATCATTAATTTAAAGGTCAACTTTCTCATTTCTACAGTTGTCCTTTTTTGCACATAAGTTTCCATTGTTTTGGTGTGGAAGTATGTGTGGAGGCTTCAGGTGTCCTCCTTTACCTAAAAGGAGAAATACAAAATTAGTGACAGGAGAAAATAAAAATAGCTAGGTGGCTAATGGTATAGAAAGCTTGTTGGAATTTAGCAAGTAATCTAAGAAATTACTGCAAGCTTAAAATTATTTTATTGTAATTTTCTGTTGTACCTTTTTTCATAGGTATCTGGCAAATGTAAAAGTAGCATCTTTTGGACTGTCAAACATATGTCTTGTTATTGTTTAAGGTCATGGTTAAAATTACAAATTTTACAATAAATACCAATGAACCAGAAGAAAACTTACCAAGCAAGCTCAGAATGAAATGTGCCTCAGCATCAAGCATTGGAGCAAGTAGGCTGTTTTTGAAGAAGTCTACTTCATTAGTAAGACAGATGAGATACTCTGGTTTTCCTCAGATATTAGGTTTAGGCCAACACTGTGTCTTTAGATGTACACAGTGTGCTTCCACTGTCCCTCCTGTCAAATAAATGTCTCTTTTGGACTGTTGGAAGTCAGATAGCAGGGAACTGCAGTGGTGTAACATGTCTGAATTTCAAGTAAACTGTTCAGTAATTTCATTTAAAGCATACATTTCCAGTTGAATATAGTAAGATGTTTTACTCCAGCTCTCAAGTGTCTCTTAAACAGAAAAACTAGAGTAGCTAAAAGAAAATGTAATATGCACTGAAAGGTAATAATGCCTGCAGTTGCTGCATAGTATTTTAGAGCCATTTGTGAACTTTAGGAAAGATAATGTTGTGTGGTATTGCACAACTTGAGAACTTATCCAAGAGTATGAAGGGAAGTGCTCTATTGCTGGCTTTAATGGTATGTTGCAACTGAACCTCTTCTGTAGAACATGCCATAATATTTGTAAAACTAAGCTTAGACCATTATGTTTAGATACTGAAATTGATCCTTTGAGATTTTGGGTTGTCTGAATCTACGGAGATAAAACGTGTGCTTACTTGTAAGGGTTTAGGGTCCAGCCGTTCATAACAGCCCAAAGCTCTAAGCTGTTTGGAAGGTATGATTGTGGGTTTTTCTGGTCTGCCTCTGATGTAAGTAGCATATTGCTGCTTTGGTAACCCTTAATTTGTCTCAGACATTTTCTATATCGTATTATATATGATGCATCTTGTTCATATCTCTTCAGATTAAAGGATCATGGTCAAATAAAAGAGGTAAAGAAAACTATAATCCATACAGTTATGGCAACATCTTTACTAATTGCTGTGCTGCACTCTGTGGGCCCCTCTCTCCAAGGTAAGAGTATCAAAAAGTATTATTAGTATAAATGAAGCCACGTGATTATTCATGATTCAATTCACTCCGATTGCTTGAGTTTACTCAGCAAAAATACTCTCGTTTTGCTGTCCATTAGAAGTGTTAATTAGGTTTTTATTCAGTAGTAAAGAGACAAGTTGGAAAATTGTGGTTAAACTAAATTAGTGATCAGATCCTGTAAAATATATTAAGGTTGACATTCTTTTGCCACTTCAGTTAACAACTTTTAGCAGTAAAAGATTTCTAGAAGTTAGCTGTTGCATGACGGGTGATTTGAAAGTTTATTAAACTCTTACATATCTAACAAAAGTGACATGAGTTTAGGAACCTTAATTCTACAACTAGCTTGATGATTGTTCATTTTTGTCTTTTCGCTCTGAACCGTTTTATTTAAATGGGCAGTAATTTTTCTTTATTTATACTACTCTTAACGTGTATACATTAAGCTGAATTTGGTGCTCTTGCACCAAAGCAATTCTAGAGAAAGCCTAATGGATTAACTTTTGTTGCATACATTTTCACTTCTGAAATACAGAATATTTGTATATTCAAGGTTGCAGGTTTTTTTTTTTCAGCTTGAACAAACAATAATACAGAGCTGAGACTAGAGAAATAAAACTGGCAGCTGGAAAGACTTAGTTCTCTTCTTACTCCAGTGCTGTGTGGTTAGATAGTTCATGTACTACATAGTTCATGTACTACATGTACAGTACCGGCCTGGTTCCTCTGTATAGAGTAGCTGACATCTTGTAGATTATTTCTGTGGCATACTCATCGGTTAAAGCTGTTTTGCTTTGTCTGGAATTATGTAGTTACGAATCTGAACTATTGAGAAGAAAGTAAGTAGATTATTTTATAGTCTAGTGACTAGGGTGGAAGTGGGATTTCTGTCTTTGCTGTTATGAGTATCAGAGGTGGTTCTTCTACAAGCAGTCGAAGGTCAACAGGAGAGACTGACATCTTTTCCTAAGGAGGAGACAACTCAGTTAAGATTACCACATACTGGGTTAACACTGTAATCCCTGTGGTAAGAAAGAGTAACCCTGTCGTCTCTGCTTCCTGCCTGCATGGATGGTGTCTGAAGCCAACCCTTTAATTCTGCCATTTTGCTTTTCATAAAAGTATGTGACACAAAAACTCAATGCCATGCTTCAGATACTTTTGTTTGACTCCAAATGGAAATCCTTATTAAAACAACATGTTTCTCAGTACTTGAAATGACATCATAGGCTGATACAAGTAGCAGCACACAATTAGACCAGACTGACATTGGCTCCTGTGCTTTAACAGAGTTTGTACATTTTTTCCTGAATTCTTTGTAGCAACATAACTTATTTAGATGCCGGAATATATGTGGAGGTTCTGCAGAGAGACATTTTGTGACCAATGGTAAAAATTTACTGACTGTAAAATGTAAATTATAACCTTGCTTTTTTTGACTTTTAATCTCAGCTGTGTCCCAAGTCACTAAATATTAGTTTGTTTCCTTAAATTCTGGTAAAGTGGTTTAGCAGCAATTACAGCTTGAAATTCAAAATATTCAAGTACCTTTGAAAAGGGAATGCAGATTAAGAGAGGATATGTAAATAATCCAAACTTTTCTCCCTTCTGTTAAAGATAATGTTTTCATTTTTAAACCTATGCTAGCAAATTCAGAATGCATTTTACGTGTCCTCAACAGTAACTTTCAAATCTTAATTTGATCCATAGCTGTCAGCATAGGTCTAACTAGTGTTCTGATAAAATAAATCATGTAACTTAAAATTAAGCGACGATTTTTGAAGGAGTGCTTTCCACATGACAGAGTGTAATCTCAAGTGGATTTCTAAGTGGTTTGAATGTACATAAAAACCTGTTCTGCAGACCTTCATGACGAAAGCTTAAACTGGTCTGCAAATGGTGGAAACCTCATTGACTTTTGAGAGGGAAAATGCCTTAGATTTTTCTGTGCATACTGTTCTTGTCTTTTAAAATTGAAGCCATCTTGACCCTTAGTGAATTTAGAGGTCCCATAAATCAGCAAAGAAAACAAGTTCTGTGCTGACTTTAGCTTTCAGGTTTTAAAACATTCCTGTCATTATGTCTGAGTCATGATAAACCCTCCAGTTAGAATTTGATATACTGTGTCAAAATTTGTAGTTTTCCAGATGGGAAGTAACATTGTTCAGGTCACAGGAGAAAAACATTTTGGCCTATGAATAAAAATATATGGAACTCTAATTGAAAGCTACATATAATTTAAAAAAAAACAAAAAAAACAAAAACCAACCCACAACAACAAAAGAAAAAAACAACCAACTTTGAATGAATTGAAGCATAAACAGTTGGAAAGTTTTGGGTTTTTTTTGTATGGAAGTGATATGAGCTTATACACACATAGAATATAGTACTTCAGTCTGTACATTCAGCTTTTTGTGAGTATTAACTAGCAGAACCTAAGTGAGGTTTATAGTTCTCAAATTGAGAGTAAAATTGTATGTGGAATTTTAGCAAAATCTTTAGCTAGGTCAGATTATTCCATTATTTTTTTTTTAATAATCTTATGTAGTTTTAAACTTATTTTTATTAATTCCTCCACAAAGCATTTTCTTAGATGGAAATAAGAAATTTTATGAGTGCATCACTTTGGTCAGTGTTGTGGTTTAACCCCAGCCGGCAAATAAACACCGTGCAGCAGCTCGCTTAGTCCTCCTTTCCCCCGCCCCAGTGGGATGGGGAGGAGAATCGTGAAAAAAAGAAAAACTCCTGTGTTGAGATAAAAACAGTTTAATAATTGAACTACAATAAAATACAATAATAATTATGATGCTGATGATGAAAAGAGAGATTAAAAAAAAAAGAAAGAGAAATAAAACCCAAGAAAGACAAGTGATGCACAATGCAATTGCTCACCACCCACTGACCGATGCCCAGCCAGTCCCCCCAGCAGCAATCTGCTCCTCCTGGGCAACTCCCCCCAGTTTATATACTGAGCATGACGTTCTCTGGTATGGACTGTCCCTTTGGCTAGTTTGGGTCGGCTGTCCTGGCCATGCCCCCTCCCAGCTTCTTGTGCACCTCCTCACTGGCAGAGCATGGGAAACTGAAAAATCCTTAACATAGGATAAGCGCTACTTAGCAACAACTAACACATCAGTGTGTTATCAACGTTATTCTCATTCTAAATCCAAAATGCAAGACTGTACGAGCTACTAGGAAGAAAATTAACTCTATCCTAGCTGAAACCAGGACAGTAAGAATAGTGGAGCACTGTAAGCAGTGTTAAGTAGCTGTCTCGAAAACTCCTGGCAAGGAAGTTGTCTGAACAAAAGTTCCTCTTTCTTTCTTTCTAAATTTTGTGATTAAGTCGCTTTAATTTAGAGGTGTGGAAACTGATAACAGAAGAACCTTCAAAACAGATACCAATTCAAAGTGCACTAGTGAGTTGTGTAAGTTGTTTTCACACTTGTGGTTTAAAATTCATTGGTTTTGTGGTACCTGCTGGTAAGCTTCTAAGTCTTCTGTCTGTCTACAATAAGAATCTAGAAAAGTAGATGTACACATGTGTGGGTGGTATTACAAGCAAACAATTCCCTTGCTACCTTGCTGATGAGTAGAAATGAAGTCTTGCACTTCAGTTGAATAAAAGGGGATATTTGAAGTTATTGGTGAGGTATTAGGGTTTGTTGTATGACAGAAAATTTGTCTCTTTTTGTTAAGACGACGTAGTTATTGATCATGTGATCTCTCTAACACTTCTTCTTTATTTTGATTATTCCATAGCTTAATTGACAGAAGAGGATTTATACAACCAGATACACCGCAATTAGCAGGACCATCAAATGGCATTACTATGTATGGGGCCACACAATCTCAGAGCAACATGGTAGGAATCATCCCATAGTGTTGTTCATCAAGATTCCTGTGAATGTTTTTCTTCTCCACTTTCATGTGAACTAATCAAGTAATAACTAACTGGATACAGCTGACACTCTGGGTGGAATGACTTGTTTGTTAACAGTAAAGAAAAAAAGCCCAAGGCTCTTTTTAATGTATGTTTCACGCAATGTAATAGTTGTTGCTCATGGATTCTAAAAAAAGAGAGGCTTTTCTGCACTGTTGATTTATTGAATATACTGGCATTTTGACTTGTACTGTTGATATCTGCTGTGTTTTGAACTGGAATATTCAAGCATCATGGACTTGCTCTGGTTCATAATTTTCCAGCTAATTGTTATTTTGTATGGCACTTTCTTCATACTCTGTTTCCTTCTTTGCTCATACACTGCAGTTTTGCATAGACCGAGGTGTTTTAAAAAGCAAAGATGAACAAAGAGGAGTATCTAGGGGAGAAGTATGTTGAAGAAAGAGCAGGAGGATGCTGAACTTCCAATGAACAAAAAATGGCAACTGGATTGTTACAACAAAATCTTTTAAACATCTTTGAAACTGTGCCAATAGTTTTTACTTTGTTTTTTGATGGTAGCATTTGCTATCATAACGGAGCATAGGATTTCCAGTGCCAAGAAGAGGAGAATAACTGGAAAGAGATCTTTTTCTAAAGGCAAGCATCTTGCATATGTGCCTATTTCTCAATTGTTATCCACATATCTGCATATTATGTGGGTTCTAAGACTTTGTCAAAGAAGCCATGAGTTATGGACATTCTCTCTCTGCCAAAAAAGAGGCGGCACAAGGCCTTCTGACATAATTCAGCCTTCCATTTGAACAAAAGAAGACAACTCACTCTTCCCAGACAGATTAGTTTTAGTGTCACTGATCAACTGGTATAAAAATTCTGCTGTAGTTCCTAAGCTGTTTTTACTTGCTATTTTGAGGATTAAATAGAAGTTTTGTTAAGTCTCCTTAATGAGAAAATGTATTAGGCACAGTATTAACTCTGAATCTTCTGTGAGGTGCAGTTGTGCAGAACAAGGTAATGCTCTGTGCAAATTTTACTCAAAAAAATAGTAACTCTGAAAGAGAAAAGAACAGTTTAAAAAAAAAAAAAAAAATTGCAAACCTTAGAAATAGCCTGAAGCCCTTCAGGGTTTACCCAAACTTTCTGACTCTGTCAAAGCTTCTTATTTGTGAGGATCATTAACCCACAATAAGTCCCTGGCATTAAATTATCTTAACATTATAAGAATTATACTTCCATTGTAAGAAGATGCTATTGTTATTACTAGCTATTAATGAGAAAATCTTGTGCTAGTTTGTTAGAAAATTGACTAAATTTGTCTCTAGAAATGGAGAAATCTGTTATGGTATTTAAACCAAACAGGTAGCTGTTACGATTTTAGAGTGCAATACCTGTAATTACTCAAATTCTTCAAGAATTTGAATGATTTGTACTACTTATATTCTAGAACATTACAGTACTTGAGCTGGGAGAGGCTTGTTGGGTTCTTTAACAGTTACCAGAATCACTTGGAAATGTGCAGCTTTCATTCCTGAAAGTGATCTCTCAGAAAAAGCTTGAAAAATATAATACATTGTGTTTGGTATGGAGGGATGTCTTTAAGACTGTGATGCCATTTTTCTCAGGGTATTATTCTTGGTTTGTATCCAAGACCAATTGACTTCTAGTGGCAGCTGGCTATCAGCATTAAAATCTCTCCCTTGGTTTTTGTTGCAAACTGTTAAAGCCCTGCTTAGTTTCCCAGTCTCATAAGCACTATTTTCTCTTCCCTATTTAAAATCTTGCATTCTTTTCTGAGTTGTTTGAAACATAAGAAATTATAAATCAATTTCCTGCTGGCAACAATGCAGTGGGACATAGCTTTGCCTCTGATTTGTTCTTGTTTCACATTTCCCTTTTTCTGTGTTCTAAGGTCAATGTTTTTGCTTTTCTCAGTAGACTCTGTCTACTTTCAGGTTCCCATCTCTCGTATCTCATAAGGCAGCAAACAACAAAACTAATTTCCCTGTTTCACAGTTAAGACCTCAATCTCATGCACATAACAGACTTTTTCGTAACAAAATTAATTCACTTTACTGCTAGCTTAGTTATTTTCAGCCATTCTGTTCAGTTACCAGATTTCCTGTTATGATTTAAATTTAGACAGAAATAATCAACTAAAGCTTCATCATTCTGTTCAAAAATTTTTCCCCATGAAGTGACCCCTAGTACTTTCCTAGGCTTTACAGTATCTATTTATCTCAGTTCTCTTCCTAGTACACAATCTTCAATTCTTCTGAAGAAGTTTGGGAACAGGAGCGCTGGGAAGACCAGCCATTCACTTGTTCTCCCCTGAAAAGGACCGCAGAAGGTTCTTGAGTGTAAGGCAGCGGAATACACTTTATGGCAGAAGTAAAATGAGGCATGCGGCATCCTGTTGTTTGATTTTTTTGTTGTTGTTTGATTTTTTTTTTGTTGTTGTTTGATTTTGTTGTTGTTGTTGTTGTTCGATATTTTTTTTTTTTTTTAGAGGAGGAATCTCTGCAAGATTCTTTAGATTCCCTTTTGCTAGAATTCAGACGCAAACATCAAAATTTCCTTTGGTAATTGATGGTTTAAAGAATATACTAGATCAAACCCAAGACTCCAGTGGAAGGGAAATCTTGGTGGAAGAAAAGGTTTCCTATTTACCTTGCGTCCTCACTGACAAAGGTTAAGCAAAAGATGTAATATGATTCAGTCTTCCCTTCTGGAAGGTTGCGTACCTCTTGGGAAAAAGGCAGAGGCATAAAATTAAAAAGATGCGTCTGGACCACAAAGAACTGGCAAGTTTGAAGGGGATGTATCTGATACTGCAGCTTGTATTATTCTGGTTTCAGAAAAGGACAGGCAAAATGAAATTCCTTGGCTTAAGAGCATGTGTAGATCATGGTCTTAGTCTATAAATACTTTTTAAAATTGCAGAGGTTTAGCCATTTATATGTCATCGGAGATAATTACGCTGTTTTAGCAAGTTGAACACTTTTGAGTACAGGAAATAACAGAAATCTGAAGTGTGTTCCAGTATACCTTTATGGTGTGTCTCCTTGGATTTTGTGCCAGAATGAACTACGTGATTTTATCTCTACATTGAATCTTTATGTCTGGATGTTATACTACTTAATTCATATAGCATGCTAAAATGTCTCTCCTGCCCATTGATTTTAATAAGCATCATTTCTCACACTTGTCTTCTCTTATTCCTTTCCTTCCCTTTCCTTATCTTCCTTTCCCTCAAATCTTTTACCCAATGAACTCTGTCCTTCTAAATAGAATTCTTGTGCCTCACTCAACCAGCCTCTCGTCACTCTTTAAGTCTGTTTGGGTTGCTTAGTATTATATTCTGCTTTCATTTATTTTAATACATCTTTTAGCATAGCATCATTTTTACATTTAAGCTCAAAATTATCAGGCTAAGTTTAAACTTGCAAGACACTTGTTTTCAGTGCAACACATTATCTCTTATTCAGGTTACCGTTTGTGGGGCACTATTTTTGTATTTAATGTCTTTTGTGCTAATTTTGCCTTTGAGACTTTGAATATTTGATACAGGAGCTACCCTACTCATGTTAGTGACTCAGTTTGTCACAATCTCAGAAAGTCAGGGTTGTTGCTGTAATCAGTGCTTCATAGACCCATACTATGATTGGTTTTTTTCTAGATCTTTATAAAAGCACTTTTTCTTTTCTCTCAATATCTCCCTTATTTTACTAAAAGCTGAAGTTGTATTTACTTTTTTTGAATGCTGGAAGCATATATAATTATTTTTTTCCTGGTACATTCCCAATGTAATTCCAATATAATTTGATACATTCCTACTGTCATTCCAATATAATTTGAAATTAATCTGGTAAATTCATTAGCCAGATTCTTAATATTCTTATCCATGTGACAAACATGGTCACTTGGAGCTCATGATCTGTAGATCTGATATTTCCAGAGTATTTCCCCTTGCATTTTATTGCTGATCATTTTTACAAGCTCTTTATTAGTTTGCTTGCCCAATTCTCGTTCTTAAGAATTTTTTTTCACATGAAACACAGTATCTCATCCATTATGAAATCACAATTTTCTCTGTATTTTATTCTTTTTTGTTTTAAGGTTTATTTTCTTTGTATTCTGAAAGAAGTTCTTATTTCACCATAAATCCATCAGCTACCATTACCTGGATCTGCATTTCTGTAGTACTTAGCTTTCTCTTAAAAGCCTGAGTTGATTCTTGGGTTTTGATACAGGGTATTTTATTCTTTAGTAATCCATTATGAAGAAACACAGAATCTGTCTCACTCCATGCACTTTTTTAGAAGAATTGGTTTATTTTTACTATAATGTCTCTAGGAATTCTCTAATGCCTTATAAAGTGATAGATTTTACTTCTATCTGCCTCTGCATCAGGACAGGTTTATTTCTTTGTTTTTAAGAAATTTGCTTGTATTCCTTCATTCCTCAGCATCTCTTCTTCAGGGCTTAGGTAGTTCCTTGTGTGCCAAATTCCTTTAATTTCCAGTTCTCAGTTTCCTTTACTGGATGCAAGTTCTTTATTTAGAGCGTTTGTTTTCTTTCTTCTACGTACCGCTGAAAATTGTAGGAACAATAACAGTGCATGCATAACATTTGTTACCAGTGAGATGTATTGTAGAGTCCTCTCCCAAATGTTCTCATTAGTATTTTGAGCAGTGATCTGGAAAGAGGAATCCAGCTGATCTAGGGAACCTTAACTCTGACCTTCCTAGCATACTTTTTCTTTTCCTTTTCATATTCTCATTGTTAGGAGTAAGTTTTTCTGTTATGACAGTAAAAGGATCAAAAGGATAGGAGCCTCACTTTGCTGGGAGTTTTACAACTGTGTTTCCTTAGACATTTACTGTCGTACTTCACAAATACAGTTTATCATTGCCTGAAACAGAACTTAGGGCTCTTACCAAATCAACGTTACTGCAATCAAGGTTGATAGAGATTTTCATTAAAGCATTTTACTTCACACTTAAAATGGGTTAAGGGCACATGCAGTAAATCAACTTCAGCATTTTGCTTTGGCTTGAGGTACATTTTAGAAGCAAATCATTTGATTGTGTGTATATACTGCATTTTTGTTCATGTCGCAGAGCAGTATCAGGGCACATGAACTAGACTTCTTTCAGAAGATGTGCTCCCAAAATGCACCTGACATGCTCTAACCATTCACAGACATTCAGTCCATAAGGACAATTAGTAGCTAGTCTGAAGTAAAATCCCTGGAACAGGTATAGTTTCCCCTCTGGCTGCAGAAGCATTTCTCTTCATAGATCTACTCCTGGTGCACTGTACTACCTACTAGTGCAGCCATTGACTTGGTGGGTTTTGTGGCTCAGTTGTTGCACAGTATCTGCAATACCATGATTGAATGTGGAATCCTACAGCTGTTGAGAACAGTTATACAGCTCTATCCCTCTGCTCTTTAGCCATCTATTGGATCCGTCTAGTATAGTATTTCAGCATCCTTTCTGTTACTTCATAGCACTGTTGTTCAGTGCTGTCTGTCTCCTCTGAACTTTTTGTTGTTTGCACTTTATTCAGAGATGCTGAGATAATTCAACCTGCTTTTCTCCATCTTCTGAGATCTGTAACAGCTCTTTAATGTTACTAGTGTTTAGAAAATTTTAAACAAAGTTAATTTAAAATTCAAAGTAAGTAATCCCTGGCTTTGGCATTAGAAATGTGAAAAATGTATTGCCATGTACAAGTATGTCAAAATGTATGCTTTGTGTAGCTTAGAAAAAGTCAGATTTTCTTCAGGGAAAAAAAAAAGAAAAATATTGTTTCCTTAGTTGTTTGTATTTATTATTTGTGAAATAAATGCAGAATTTTAGGTTTTGTCTAATTTGCTTTAATTTGTCCCTTTGGATGTGAAAATAAATACAGAGATGGCTAAAAATTTCTATGCATGTTTATAATTGAAATTCTGTACTTGTAGAACTTATTAAGCCTGTCTTATCTTCAGAATCTGCTGTTCCTCTGAAACAGTGGAAGTTGTAAGTGGAAAATAAAATAAGTAGATTTGAAGTAAGAAGGTACACTTCTACAGTAGATTTTTAGCTGTTTAGATTTCAGTGTTTGGCTTCCTTTTTGTCACAAGGATAAGCTTTTTTATTTCATTTGAAATGCTGGCATTGAATAATTCATGTGATTAATAGCTGTTAAGACTTTTGGCCCTACATTTCATTTAGTTGAGAGTGAAATATGGAATCAAGGAAAAACCACCATACCAGCCCTACAAACAAATCTGATTTCCTTGTTTAGTTTTGTGTTAGTTGTTTAGACTCAAAAATAGTCTTAGTTGTATAGTATGTGTTGTTTTTATCGAGTGTTTTTGAGATCTTCACTGAACACATCTACCTTTTCTAGTATAAACCCCACTCTAGTCACTTTTGAAAGCTCTTACAGCCTGTATTTTCTTAAGATATTTAATGTTGATCACTGTTAAATAGAAGAAAAAAAAGAAAACCTGAAATGTATCTGAATAAAAGGAGAGGCTTTAGGGAAGTGACAAGTGCATGGAAAATGAAAAACAGATATACAGCACCTGAAAAATTTTTGTAACACTCTGTTTAATGGAGCTTTATGAGGCTACTTCATCTTTTTGATATTGAGTCTGTTAAAATGCACTAGAGTTCAGTAAGAAGAAAATTAATTCAGACTATACAATGACTTCAAGTAAATTACCTTCAGCTAACTTAAAACTGTGTTCTTGTATTGCCTGGAACATATTAGTGATTTCCTTTTGAAGATCAGCGTTGAAGCTTCACTAAAGCATTAATAAGTCAGCTGCTAACATTATTTGTTTTCAATATACCCCAGTGGTTATAGGCATTCCTTTGTTATTTAACATGCTCTTTGGCTACTGCTTTTCAGAGATGGATTTTGTTGGTGTTTTTGAAGTTTGAAAATTCAGTTAACATATTTTTAAGGTCTCTATGGTAAGGTTGGTTGAAGGGCTATAGTTTAATTGAAATAAGCAGGCGTGAATAACAGTATATTAATCAAGAATGAGTTATTCACACTGAATTACTAATTGAAAGCTTGACTTTAAAAGATGCTGACAGTTTTCTTCTTAGTAAGGTACTTATGCAAGGTTTTGGCTTTAAGCCTGTGAGTAATCCCTCTGAAATGATATGGGATCACTTCAGTTGTTTGGCTAGGGCTGTTCATTGG